GATATTGATGAGAAGGGCCCCAACTCTCCAATGGTCTGACCACACACTTATTACTAGGATACCACAGGGTCTTTACAACCCTGGAATTAAGTGGAAGGCCAGGGTTAATTGTGATTAAATATTCACAATGTACTTAAGTTCCATTCATGATAGTCTCCACTAGGGCCCTATATACTTCACCAGTAAAGCAGCACTGGGGCCTGGAGTCAGAAGCCAGGGATTTCAGTCTGACTCTATTACTTTCCATCTGTATATGGCCTCGGGCAGGTCTCTTAATCACTCTGCCTCTCATTTTCTTCTCCACTTCTGGGGAAGGCAGATTAGGGGAAGAACAAATTTGATGATGTCTTTGAAAATTACAAAATATTAAATAATGTACAGCATTGCTTCTGCCAGTAGCAAAATATGGATATTTGTGTATAATCATATAAATGGGTTTAGTTTTTGTTTATTTTTGTTGTGTTTTGAAGAGCGGTTAAGCTAAAGTTAAGTTGAATTTTAATACAGAAACATATTTATTCTAAGCATTCAAACAATGCAGATATATAGAATAAAACTAAAGTACCTTATCCTGCCATCCCCTACCTCTGTTTTCATCTACTTCCCCCTCCACAAAGACTGTCTATGCACGCTTTCAGAGTTTTTCCTATACATTGATGTTAACAGATCAGTAAAACAAAACACCCCTGTACATGTTGGCATTTATCATTTAACTATATTTGATGAACAGTTTCATGTCGGTACATATATAGATCTACCTCACTCACTTTACTACTGGGCTGTACTCTTTACTGAACCATAGTTTATTTAACTGTTTCACTTTTGGTGGGTATTTGTTTCTAATTTCTTACTGTAACAAACAATGCCAAAACATTCTTCTATACAGATTTTTGTGCACATGTATTAGTTTCCTGAGGTTAGTAACAACTTACCATAAATCTGGTGGCTTTAAACAACAGAAATTTGTTCTCTCATAGTTCTGGAGCCCAGAAGTCCAAAATCAAGTTGTTAGCAGGGTTGGTTCCTTCTGGAGGCTCTAAGGGAAAATCCATTTTATGCCCCCTCTTAGTTTCTGGTGGCTGTGGGGAGTCCTGATGTTCCTTACCATGTGGACCCATCACTCTAATCTCTGCATCTGTCTTCATATGGCCTTCCCCTCTGTGTCTCAAATCTCCCTCTCCTTTCTCTTGGAAGGACACCAGTCACTGATCTTGAGATCCTTACCTTAATTATACCTGCAAAGACCCTTATTCCAAATATGGTCATATCCTGAGGTTCTGGATGGGCATATATTTGGGGGCCATTATTTAACTAATTACAACACACAAGAGAATATGTGAGGATAAAAAGTTACACTGCTAAAATGCTCTTACAAAGGCTGCAATAATTTTTACTTCCACCAAAAGAATATTAAAGTGCTCTTTTCCCCACATTCCTACAAACTTTTAAAAACTTTTTGCTAAATTGATTTGTTAGATAAAAAATAATGTTAACATCCTTGTTTCTATTGCATCTCCCTTATTTCTAGTATCCATTAATCCTCTTTTCATGTATTTAATGACTATCTGTACTTCTTTTGCAAACTACCTATTCATAAATTTTGTCATTTTCTAAATGGCAATGTGTCATTTTTTTTTATTGTTAACAATTCCTTATAGTTTGGATATTAATATTTTGTCTGGTATATATATTGGCACAATTTCCTCCAAGTCCGTCAGTTATCCAACTTATTCTTTCCCTACATAACATTTAAAAATATTTATTTAGTCAAATCTACCAAATTTTTCCTTTATGGTCTCTGGGTTTTGTTTAACACTTTTAAGATTTTTAAATTCCCTACGATTTTATGTGATATCACAAAGTAGGACAAATACAGAGCTAAGAGTTACAGAAAGCATGTTCTATGCAGCCTGCAAATGTCTTATGAATGAGAAAATATTTGAGGAGCCAGAGGACGCTCTAGGCTAAACGTGAAAATAGAGAAAAGAAGAAAAGTAGGAAAAGGTGTAGGTAATTTAGCAGTCCAACAACTGTTGATAACACAAAAATGCTCTAGGCACCAAAAGGGAAAAGAAATGTAAGACTGACGCATTCACTGCCCTCCAGAAGTTTACAATTCAGATGTAAGCAAAAATATTTTAAGCAACAGTTAAGCAACAATGACTAAAAAAATTAAAAAATTAGCAATGGGCTTCAATCCAATGAAGTCCATGTAGTTGAAAGTACAATGGGAAAGAGAATTCTGATGGATCTTAAGAGATGGTGAGTACACCCTAATTCAAAAAAATTTTTAACTTTCATCAAAGTTAACTTTCATCAAGTAATGAACTTCTGCAAAGTAAACTCACCTGTATAACTAGCACTCAGCTCAAGAAAAAGTGCATAACCAGCAACCTAGAAGCCCCATCCTACTTCCTTCTTGTCACTCCCCAAAAGCTCAGATTCGTTTTACCTACATTTTCACTTTGTATTAATAGAATAATACACTATATACTTCTTTATCTCAAAACATGTTTGTGACATTCATCCAAATTTCTGCATGTAGGTCTAAATTGTTCTTTCCCATTACTGTATACTATTCCATTGTGTGAATTATAATATATCATTTATCTATTATACCAATGATGGGTAGTTTGTATATTCCTACTCTGGACTCCTGTGAAAAATACTGCTATCAACATTCTAGTACATATCTTTTGGTGAATACATTTTTTCATTTCTGTTGGATACCTACTAGGGAGTAGAACTGCTGGTTCATAGAATGTACATATGTTCAGTTTTAGTAAATATTGCTAAATAGTAGTTGTAAAATAGTAGTTACAGTTGTGCAACATTCTCATCAACATTTGATATTTTCCATTTTGGCCGTTCTAGTGAGTATGTAGCAAACACAATTATTAGGGATAATATGAAAGTCCAGATAACAGCAAAGCTCTCACAACAAAAGATCAAATAATCAGAAAAGTAAGAAGGCTTCAAAAAGAATATGGATATTAATTAGCTGGAGCTGGCAAACAGTCCTTAAAGGTAGATAAAAATATAAGAAAAGACAGAAAGTAGGAAGCATAGTGAATAAGTGACTAGTGTTCTGGTAACTGTAACCTATAGCGTGAGTCTCTCACTAAAATGCTATGGTCCCTACATTTCTAGAGAGACAATAGCTATTTTATTCCAAGGAAATGAATATCATAAATAATTTTAAAAATAATATATATTTTAACAAAAACTTATACAATAGTTTTCCTATGTAACACAGTGTATAATTTCATATCTGTATCAGTGAAATATATTTAAGAAAATACAAAGTATAATTTGATTAGGACATGTATTTTTAGTAAATAAAAATTATACATAATCTATAACAAAACTACCTTACATCTGTCTAATATCTAAGTTTTTAAAAAGTTCCAGACTTTCACTTAAACTAGTGAAAAAAAAATCCTGATTAAAAAAGGAAAACACAAATTATTCCCATTGTGTAGGTGACTAGAACTGTGACCTCACCGCAGCCACAAGCTCTCAGGGAATGAGAACCATATCTTATAATTTATCACAGCCCCTCTCCACAGGTTTAGCAGAGTACTCTTAGCAAAACATTCAATAAATCCTACTCACCAACATGTTAGAATCTATAACTACTCAGAAATATATCATATATGCTGCTTCATATAGTTGGTGAAAAATGATTAGATATTTATGTAATAAAATTCTGATAGATCTAAAAATGCTTAATCATTTTTTAACAAGAATTCATCAACAGGCACAGATTTTTTAAATTACGTATTAAAAAATACTACAGGGCTTCCCCGGTGGTGCAGTGGTTGAGAGTCCGCCTGCCGATGCAGGGGACACAGGTTCATGCCCCGGTCCAGGAAGATCCCACATGCCGCAGAGTGGCTGGGCCCATGAGCCATGGCCGCTGAGCCTGCAGGTCCGGAGCCTGTGCTCCGCAAC